AACTCCAGCCTTGGATTCGTCAAGCCCTGCACATCGCATGATGTGTTCTGCATACAAGTTGAATAAGTCGGGTGATAATATACACCCCTTATATACTCCTTTCCCAATTTTGAATCAGTCGGTTGTTCCATGGTCTGTTCTTACTGTTGCTACTTGGTCGTTATACAGATTCCTCAGGAAATAGTACCATTTACTCCCATTTATATTCAGTATAACTGTTTTCTCTCCTTTCTGCATCCTCTCTTTTTTCCTTCCCTCTTATTTAAACATTATTTTTTAAACCACTTTGATCAGAGACTTGTCTCTGTTAATGATGATGGTATTTTGTAAAATGTGGTGAGTATTGATAGCTCTGAATGCATAACAGTCAGGCTTGGCTAGTTAGATCCATTTAGACTACTCTCAGTGTTCCAAAAAAAGTAACATCTCTGAAGTTTTCATAAGTACAAACCCTAGGGTCCAAGTGTATAAACAAAAACACCCTGTATGTAGATTTTGGACATAGAATTTGAATTTCCAGTTTGGACCAATTTGGTTTGGATTTCTTCCTTTTCTACCTCACTTTCTGTCCCCAGTTTTCCTTTAGGCAAAACCAAGTGGTTTAGTTGGTTTGGTAGCCTGAGTACATATAATCATGTATTTCAAAAGTTTTTCTTCCTTCTAGAATCTTGTTTAACTTGCTTACTATGACCTTTTTCTTCTGAAACTGCTTGTTGTTGTTTATTTCCTAACTGTGTAGATCAGGAATGAGTCACAGTCTATCTTTTTGCTCCTAAACCAACCATTTTTGGAGAGGAACTAGTCCAGTCCACTATGTCAGTTGCTCATCAATGGGGCAGAGCTATAATACCAGCAAAAGTTCTGTGATTTCCTGTGTGCTCCACATTTTAACTCACACTTTGATTTCAATTCAACTGTCATGCCCCATACTATAGATTCCTGAGATCTGCAGTTTCATGAGGTATTTAGAATAGTCTGTCAGAAAGCTCTAGAATCGGAGTTCACCAAACTATGCACACCAGGATCAAAATGTTATAATTGTGTAGTGAGACAGACAAATATCTGTCTGTGTACTTCTAATTTTTAGACTAGGAATTCTTCTGTATAGTAGTAAATACACACAAGTGTTTAAAAGAACAATAACTCTTGGGGAAAGTGTCAATTGATCATGTCTGTTGGATGCAGGACACTATGAAGGGTGTGGTGGAATAAAAGAGGATTAGCTAGCTGAAATGGTACTCCAAATTGAGCAAACCTTGGGTGGTAGTTCTGGCTTTTAGTGCACAATATATCAAATGAGTTTATTCCATGATATCTGGATGAGGTGCTCTCTTTCTTTGCTGCTTTTTCTAAAAATCAGAGGATGAAGCAAGGCAGGGGGGAGGCTAACATGATGAAATTAACAGCAGAGCTTGATGAAGTTACTTGGTTGGACTACAACCCTAAGAATGATCCAGTTATCTTACAGGCAGGGTGTTTTAGTCCAAAAAGTAACATTTCCAATTTCTGGAAGGATGATCCTTTGTGCATGAAATAATGCTAGAAATCATTGCTATCACTCTTTCTAAGCTTCATAGCCAGAATAGTTTCTAAAAACACGAAGGATGGGAGGATGATCCGAAGGATAGCAAAGAACACCCTCCTCTTGCATAAGAGGCAAAGGGTCCAAGTAAGCCATATAGCTTCTTCCAAAAGTCCCAGAATTTCAGTGGTTTGAAGGAAAATGTTTATATAACCCTAAGCTCACCATCTGGGCCTCTGGTTCCATTTGTTCATGTAGGTTACCTTGAAGACACAGCTCAAGCAAATGCCCATTTGTGAGTGTATATGTTCATGTTGGGAGGAAAAAGAAATGACACCTAGTGTCTAGTGTTCCATTTCATGGTCTCATTTTGCTTGTGAAGGTTTTTTTGAAATCTCCATATTTTAGGATTGGAGGCAGGACCTTTCAAAGCAGTCATCACCATTGTCATCATAGGTGACCCCTCATGGCTGAGTACGATTGTCTTCCAGAAGTAGAGTCTTGACGATGGGTTCGTAAGTGACAATAGAGATCTACAGTATTCTGGATCCCCATGGTCTTTCATGATGAGGACATCGATTTCCAGATGGAAGGTGGTCATGACATGGGTTTGCTTAAGGTTGCTCCTTCCTCTCAGCACATTTCTCCCTTTTACCCTCCTTACTTACCTCTTTAAAATCCATAGCACTGTTGGTAACAGCCGACCTCCAGTTTCAATGCTTGAGGGCCAGGGCTTCCTAGTTCTCAAAGTTTATGCTACATTTTTAAGATTAGCTTTAAGCCCATTTTAAAATCTCTTTTGCTGTCTACCAACATTCTGTTTTCTGTTCTTGAGCTGATAGTAAAGTAACTGCTTTGAGAGATGGTGATCAGGCATTTGGACAATTTGGCCAGTCCAGCAAGGTTGATGGCGGAGGATCATCCCTTCAATGCTGGTGGTTTTTGCTTCTTCAAAGCAGTGATGTGCATGGAACTGGCTTCATGTTTGTGCCATACCGTTGTCCTATTCACATAGCTTCCAGGAAACCATCACACACCAAGAGTTGATGGCTCATGGATCTGCCCCAATCTGCAAACCACCACTTTCGAGTGACACTGCTGCAAAGGGCCTTTTCTTTCTCCCTTCCCATCAGGCATAGAAAAGGGGTTGGTATGTGCATGTGTGTGTGTATGTGTGTGTGCGTGCATGTGCGTGTAGGGGGAAGGAAAGAGAGAGTGCAAATTAGTATGGGACAGCGAAGAATACAGGTGAGCAGCAGGGAGAGGATAAGGAAGGAGAGCAAGAGGGAATGCTATGGAGAGGTGTGGGGAAATGAACAGTTTCCTTCACTTCCCCAATCACTAGTATTAGTATTGGTGTTGTCAATTTGATATGACTGGTGTTGTTCATATTGTTTGATAACACACAGACCCTTTTTTCAGCGATGGCAGTTATAAGGTTAGTAAATATATATTAGTAAACCCAGTATGACACCACTCTGATGGCCGAAAGCGAGGAGGAGCTGAGGAGCCTTCTAATCAAGGTGAAAGAAGAAAGCGCAAAAGCTGGGTTGCAGCTAAACATAAAAAAACCAAGATTATGGCAACAAGAATGATTGACAACTGGAAAATAGAGGGAGAAAATGTGGAGGCCGTGACAGACTTTGTATTTCTAGGTGCAAAGATTACTGCAGATGCAGACTGTGGCCAGGAAATCAGAAGACGCTTACTTCTTGGGAGGAGAGCAATGTCCAGTCTCGATAAAATAGTAAAGAGTAGAGACATCAGACTGGCAACAAAGATCCTGCATAGTCAAAGCCATGGTATTCCCTGTAGTCACCTAAGGATGTGAGAGCTGGACCTTAGGGAAGGCTGAGCGAAGGAAGATCGATGCTTTTGAACTGTGGTGTTGGAGGAAAGTTCTGAGAGTGCCTTGGACTGCGAGAAGATCCAACCAGTCCATCCTCCAGGAAATAAAGCCCGACTGCTCATTGGAGAGAAGGATACTAGAGACAAAGTTGAAGTACTTTGGCCACATCATGAGGAGACAGCAAAGCCTAGAGAAGACAATTATGCTGGGGAAAGTGGAAGGTAAAAGGAAGAGGGGCCGACCAAAGGCAAGATGGATGGATGGCATCCTTGAAGTGACCGGACTGACCTTGAAGGAGCTGGGGGTGGTGACGGCCGACAGGGAGCTCTGGCGTGGGCTGGTCCATGGGGTCACGAAGAGTCGGAGACGACTGAACGAATGAACAACAACAACAAAAACCCAGTACAGATTAAAGCATCACCCCCCCCCCAAAGTCCATACAGTTAAAACCACTTATAATTCCTTAGAATACAGAATACAAAAAATCTGAACATAACATTAAAGTATTTTACTATGAATTCATAAAATCTTGATGGGATAAGAAAGTCTTCATCTGCTGGCAGGAGAGCAAGAAGGAAGCCATCCTAGTCTCCCTGAAAACGTGTTCCAAAGTCTGGGAGCAGCCACCAGAAAGGCCCTCTCTTGAGTTTCCTGCTAGCAAGCCTGGGAAGGGGGTGGAGAAAGAGAATGTCTTTTCCCAAAGATATTTAGAGTGTGTTTTTACATCTACCTTGAATTTTCATGTATTACCCCTTGCAACAATTAATACATTCACAATTTATTTATTTAAAACATTTATATTCCACCCATCTCACCCCACAGGGGACTCATGGCAAACATTCAATGCTGGGACATATAACCATAAATATATACAAACATTAAAATCACTTATACCCACTTTAAATCAGTTGCTTATAAATGATCTCAGGACACCATTATATTATTGCCTCATTGTACTGTCCCAAAGGCTTGGTCCCACAGCCAGGTCTTCACCATCCTTCTGAAGGACAGGAGGGAGGGGGCTGTTCTAATATTTCCAGGAAAGGAGTTCCATAGCTGGCAAAGGGGGGGGGGGGGATCATTGAGAAGGCCCTGTCTCTCATCCCCGCCAAACACACCTGTGATGATGGTGGGACTGAGAGCAGGGCCTCTTAGTCTTCATGGTGGTTTGTAAAGGGAGATGTGTTCTGACAGTTAAACTGGGCCTGGGCCTGGGCCATTTAGGGCTTTATAGGCCAAAGCCAGCACTTGGAATTGTGCCCGTTGGCAAACAGGCAGCCAGTGGAGCTTACATAACATAGGAGTTGTATACTCCCTGTCTGCCAACCCAGTTATTAACCTGGTTGCCTCTTGTTGGACTATTTGAAGAGTCCGAACCATCTTCAAAGGCAACCCCATGTAGAGCGCGTTGCAGTAGTCTATCCTGGGTGTAACGAGAGCGTGGACCACTGTGGCCATTCCTCAGGTTCTCCCCCCCCCCCCATCATGCATGGTGTAACCCTTCCAATCCCTGTTGAAAAAAACGAGAGGTATAAAACCCAAACTACAGTGTGTTGCTTTTTTTTTGTGTCGAATTTTGTGGAACAGATTTCCAGGTTTTTTTACACTCAGGTGTTTCCTCTCTTTCAGCTGCGAGAACTGTGTGGAGCTGTTGTTTGTCCGTGGGGCCGGGAACTGCCAGGAGTGTAACACCCCTTTGCGGAAGAGCAACTTCAGAGTGCAACTCTTTGAGGACCCAGCTGTTGACAAGGAGGTGGAAATCCGGAAGAAGGTGTTGAAAATGTAAGTGTTGCAAAGCCCCAAATAAGAGAGGCCTCCTCTGTTCTGCTCTTCAAGGTTGCACTTACTTTTGTTTCATTTCTGGAAGGGTCTGTTTAAACCATTATGTATTAAAAACTCTCTGAAGGCATCTTTCCATGGAGACAAAACCAAACAAAGACTACAATCCATGCTGATTTCTGAAGAGACAGCCATGATATGTCTGTTGTAGCTGAAAAAGCAACAGTCCTTAGTTGTTGTGGTGTTTTCAGGTAATTTCTGATTTATAATGACCCTAAGCCAACCATGTCACAGGTTTTTTTTTTGGCAACCTTTGTTCAGGGGGACTTTGGCACTGACTTTCTCTGAAGATGAGAGAGAGTGATGTGTACTTGTTCAATCAATCAATACTGATCTCTGTGACTTAGTCCACCATTCAGATCATCATACCATTATGCCTTACCTTTAAAACTAGCAGTTTTATTATGGTATGCAGAAACCCAAGCTATAGTCACAGGTGAATTGCACCTTGGCGCTTCTGGTACATATACTACACACATTCATAGAATCATAGAATCATAGAATCAAAGAGTTGGAAGAGACCTCATGGGCCATCCAGTCCAACCCCCTGCCAAGAAGCAGGAATATTGCATTCAAATCACCCCTGACAGATGGCCATCCAGCCTCTGTTTAAAAGCTTCCAAAGAAGGAGCCATTGTTGAGGATGTGATGTAGGCCTGGGCTCTTAATTTTCCCCCACTCGCGATCCCTTTCCACCAGAGAAATGTTTATATGACCCAAGGAAAAAAAAGGGATAATATCAAGCATGGACTTCAAATAAACCAGCATTTGCAAGGTTTGTTAAACAGACTGAATTTTCTATTTCTGGGGTATATTTTCTGCAGAGGCCACTGTAAATGCTGCACGTTGTTACTAACAGATTTGTGTAAATGCATGGCATTCAGAAAACGTTTAGGTAAAGGTAAAGGTTTTCCCCTGACATTAAGTCCAGTAGTGCCCAACTCTGGGGGTTGGTGCTAATCTCCATTTCTAAGTCAAAGAGCTGGCGTTGTCCATAGACACCTCCAAGGTCATGTTGACTAGCATGACTGCATGGAGTGCTGTTACCATCTCGCCGGAGCGGTACCTATTGATCTACTCATATTTGCATGTTTTCGAACTGCTAGGTTGGCAGAAGCTGGGGCCGACAGCGGAAGCTCACGCCGCTCCCCAGATTCGAACCTGTTTAGCAGCTCAGCAGTTTAGCAGCTCAGCAGTTTAACCCACTGCGCCACCGGGGGTTCCCAAAAAACCTTTACTGTTGCCAATTTTTCACCCCAACATTGAGCAAAGGGGGGCCCACATTTGGGGTCAGGACCCACAGTTTAAGAAGCAGTGATATAAGCAGTGTGGTAAGAGCAAATTAAAGACATAATTAGTAGCAACAACAGTTACATTAACCCAAATGTTTTGTTACTTGATACAAACCTCTGCTGAATAATATTATCGCTACTTTGTTCAGTCTAAAGGAGGATGTAAGAATTGTTTTCATTTGTGCATTCCTGTACATCACTGCATGAAGTGATCCTTTTAAGTTCTTCAGACTGGCAGCTGATCACCTTTTATCCTTGGCTTGATGAACTAGGACATTTAAAAGCTTGGTTGTTAAGATGCAGACATTTTGTGATAAAAGAGCCCCCGGAGGCAACTGATCAGTCAAAATATGTATAACAGTGTGAGTGTACACATTTTTATTTGTGATTTAATAAGCAGTTGTATTATAGGTCTTTAAAAAAATGTAACTCGAAACACTTGATTGACATATATACCTGTAAATGTTCAAATTTTAATGTGTTGTTACACTCTGTTTTATTTACAGAATAAATAAATCCTATTTATCAATTCAATTTCTACATTTAAAGTCTTTCTTTTACTTGATCCCACGCCCCACTTTTCTCTTCCAGTATAACTTAGAGTGTGAACCTGGAGATCCTGTCTATTGTGCCTAGTGTAGTTCCTTTAGAAAGAAATAATAATAATAAAGAAATAATAATAATATTCTCCACAATGATCAACACTCTTGTTACATCAAGGATAGACTACTGCAACATTACATGGGGTTGCCCTTGGAGACTATTTGGAAGCTTCAAGTGGTCCAACTTCCCTGTTATGCCAGCTCCATTGGCTGTCAATATGCTACCGAACACAATTCAGAGTGCTGGTTTTAGCCTATAAAGCCCTAAACCAGTGGTTCTCAACCTGGGGTCCCCAGATGTTTTTGGCCTTCAACTCCCAGAAATCCTAACAGCTGGTAAACTGGCTGGGATTTCTGTGAGTTGTAGGCAAAAAACATCTGGGGACCCCAGGTTGAGAACCACTGCCCTAACGGTTCTGGCCCAGCTTACCTGTCCAAACGTATCTCCCTCTAGAACCACCTTAGAACTTAAGATCTTCTGGGGAGGCCCTGCTCTCAATTCCACCTCCCTTGCAAGTGCAACTGGTGGGGATGAGAGACAGGGCCTTCTCAGGGGTGGTTCCTTGACTATGGAACTCCTTCCCTAGTGAAATTAGAGCAGCCCCCTCCCTCTCCTGACCTTTAGGCAGAAAGTAAAAACGTGGTTATTTGACCAAGCTTTCAGACAACAATGTTTGTAGTGCAATAAGAGAATAAGGAATTGTGAACAGACCGATGGAATGGTTACGGATTTGATTCTGGATGGCTTGATTTTAATAACTGTTTTAAAATTGTATTTAATGGGTGGGTTTTAATATAAATGTTATTGTATTATTATTATATTGTATTTAATTTTATGTTTATGTTCAAATGTCATTCTGTGTTTTATGTTTAATATGGTTATGTTATATGATATTGTCTACTTAATATATATACAGCATTGCATTTTGCCAGTATTATGTTGGAAATAGTAATAATCTAATTATTTTCTTCTATTTTCGGTAGTTATGCATTTTCACTTACCTAGACTTATGGATTTAAGGATCTGTAAAATAAATTTTCCTCCTTACATCTGAGTTCAAGAATTGAAAGCACTGGTAAAACGAAGATAGCAGTTTAATGACAGATTTATTCAGATATCTAACATTTAGGCTGAACAATCTGGACTAAAATTGAAACTAAGCTTCCAATTCACCTCGTTCCCTTCTATAGGAATGCAGAAAAATGAGCTTAGGTATCCATATGCAGACCAGAAAGTGTTGAAGTTATTTTTCAAAACTCTAGACAAAAGCAGGGCAGCATTTTAATGCATACTGGCCTTGCATGAGGTGAAAGATACTCCTAATTCAAATCACAGTTGTTATTTTTTTAAGGAATGCTGCCTGCCTAATCTCTCTTTCTCTTTTCATCTTGGGAAAACATTAGTTGTGAATTGCTCAGGAGTTCAGGCAGGGTCAGTTTGAACTCTGAATGTTTAGACCTTCAGGTGAAGCATCAGAAGTCAGTTTGGCATGACTCTTTGCAAGTCTATATTATTATCCATTTTCTCTCCTCTTCTCTCAAAGATACAATAAAAGAGAGGATGACTTTCCCAGTCTCATGGAATATAATGATTTCCTGGAAGAAGTCGAAGAAATCGGTAAGTCTTAATGCTTGCATATTTAATGCGTTCGTAAGCTTTTATCTCCTGCAGGCTTTCACTGGAGAGTGTCGAAGCTCAATCTCTCTTAACTGGTCTTTATTGTGGCGCTCGGTGGTTATCTAATTACTTTCTTCTTACATTTTTAATCTCAGAGCTCTTTGGTTGGAAGGATGCATACATTTTTAGTTGTCAAGGTTTGGGTGAAGGTAAAAGAAGCAGGAGGGATGTGTAGCAAATAGGGCTAAATGAGAAAACACTCTGTAAGGACGCTGCTAGTGCTGGAAAAGGCCTGCAAAAAAGATCAAATAAAGCAGGGTGGAGAAAGTAACGTTCAGATTCTTAATCTGTCCTTCCATTGGCTTTATTTACCGTGACAGAAGCCATATGGCCCCCTTTTCATCTTCTCACTACTTCAAGTACAGTAGCTGGGAGTGCTTTGAAGCATTTGACCTTGCATTCCATTTTGGCAATGTTTTTATGGTGCTAATGCAGAGGGAGGAAGGTTTAAGAGAAGGCCTGGCTCTCTCTTTCTGTCTCCTCCCCCCTTGGATTTGAGGCCTACAGATGCTGTAGCCTCGGGGCTCTGGCTTTTGTGGGGCCTCATGACTTGGATTGCGTGTGTGTGTGTGTGTGTGTGTAGGAGGAGTAGGAGTGTGGTGGGTGCATGTGGATATATTGGTGAGAGAGGAATTCTGCAAACCAGCCACTGATTAGGGAGGATGTGTAAAGGGAAGAATAGGCTCCTGTTTTCTAATGAGAGAAAGGACTGTAAACTGGAGATTTAGATTAGTTTGATTGAGAAACAGAACCTCCCTTGCACTGGAGACCTGAAAGAAGATTCTTGAAAAGCAAAAAGAAACAAAAAGAATATATATCAGTGGTTCTCAACCTTCCTAATGCCGCAACTACTTAATACAGTTCCTCATTTTGTGGTGACCCCCAACCAGAAAATTACTTTCATTGCTACTTCATAACTGTAATTTTGCTATTGTTATGAATTGTAATGTAAATATCTGATATGCAGGATGTATTTTCAGTCACTGGACCAAACTGGGCACAAATACCTGATACGCCCAAATTTGAATACTGGTGGTATTGGGGAGGGGGATTGATTTTGTCATTTGGGAGTTGTAGTTGCTGGGATTTATAGTTCAGCTACAATCAAAGAGCATCCTGAACTTCATTAACGATGGAATTCAACCAGATTTGGCACACAGAACTCCCATGACCAACAGAAAATACTGGAAAGGTTTGGTGGGCATTGACCTTGAGTTTTGGAATTGTAGTTCACCTACAACTCAAACAATGGTGGATCTGGACCAAACTTGGCATGAATACTCAAGATGCCCAAATGTGAACACCGGTGGAGTTTGGGGAAAATAGACCTTGACCTTTGAGAGTTGTAGTTACTGGGATTTATAGTTCACCTACAATCAGAGAGTATTCTGAACTCTACCAACGATAGAATTGGACCAAACTTGGCACACAGAACCTCCATGACCAACAGAAAATGCTGTGTTTTCTGAATGGTCTTTGACGACCCCTCTGACAACCCCTCGCGACCCCCCCCCCGGGGTCCCAAACCCCAGGTTGAGAAACGCTGATATATATAATGCAGAAATGATGTTGATCAGTGGTTCCCAAACTGTGCTCTACAGAACCCTAGGGTTCCTCTAAAGCATTGTAAGGGTTTCTTGAAAAATCTGTGCCAGAATATGAAGATGTTTTTGAAATTCAATATACCCCTTCTTTAAAAACAAAACTTGAATGTCCTTTGGGTAGGACTGATAGACATATAGCTATCAATAGCCAAAAAGGCATTCCGAATAATGTTCCCTTTTTGTGTCCACTTATCATAGACTCATAGAGTTGGAAGAGACCTCATGGGCCATCCAGTCCAACCCCCTGCCAAGAAGCAGGAAAATCACATTCAAAACACCCCTGACAGATGGCCATCCAGCCTTTGTTTAAAAACCTCCAAAGAAGGAGCCTCCAGCACACTCTGGGGCAGTGAGTTCCATTGCTGAACAGTGGAGATCAAACTTTTCAACATAGGGTTACACCGAAACCAATTCACTGATTTGGTTTCTAAAGACTTGACAGTAATGGGTTAAACCCTTGTGCTTGTAGGACTGCTGACTGATAGGTCAGTGGTTTGAATCTTGGGAGAACAAGTTGAGCTCCCTCTGTCAGCTCCAGCTCCCCATGCAGGGACATGAGAGAAGCCTCCCACAAGGATGGTAAAACATCAAACATCCAGGCATCCCCTGGGCAACGTCCTTGCAGACAGCTAATTCTCTCACACCAGAAGTGACTTGCAGTTTCTCAAGTCGCTCCTGACAACAACAACAACAAAAATAACAAAGTAAGGTGGGCGCTGAACAATAGAGCTGAGCGGACCAGCTTGTTTCACCAAGAGGTGTATCACCCAAACTCTGAGGAGCCAAGTCGGATGTAGAGGCTTGATAGGGTGTAGATAAATCCCATTGGTCCCTTGTATCATCTGACAGTGAGTTGCAGGACTTCCTTCTGGGTATTTGAGTTGATAGGATCCATGAAGAGAGAAGGACAGGAGTTCCCTCTTGTGGTGAGGTGGTACAGAGGACACAGGAGCCGAGTCTCTGTGTCTGGCTCTTTACCTTTATTGTTGAGCAGAAAATTGCATATTTGCCATATATACAATGGCTTGGAAACCATTACTTCCTTTGGTTTGGGCCCATTTTTCTTCCTCTGTAAAAATGAGAAGGTTTTGTGGTAGTCTGGCTTCTCATAAAGTTTTTCTGGTATTTGAAAAGAACCAAACCTTTCAGGTCAAACTTTAAAACAATGGGCCCTTTGTGTTGTATTTTGACAGATGTCTTAAGGCAGGCCAACAAGTAAACCAACCAGTGAGTGATGGACATGCAGATAAAGTATGGTTGCACACCAGTCTATTTCCTTCCTTCCTTCCCCTCTTCTTTCCCCAGTCCTGCCATAAAGCATAAAGGCTGTGCTTGTTTGGAAATTTATGTTGTGCATCAGCAGGAGCATACTTGAAAGGTTTTTCTGAATTTGTTGCCAAAAAGCCACCTGCTCAATGGAATATACTGTCTTGTACTATAACAGCAAATATCCATACGTGACAGGGGTCATTTGATAGCAGCTGATATTGGATTTTGAAGCCTACAAGGGATACTTTGCATAGTGTTGGGAACTACTGCAGATTAAGAATGCTGGAGGCAGACTGCTGATGACTGGGGAGTTGCAATTTCCTTTTTCAAACAGCTTTGTGGGCTATTGGTTTGTTACCGTACACCCAAACTTTCCAAACATTTCATCTTGGTGACACACTTTTTCTTTGCAACACAATAATTCAGTTTACTAGCAAACTAGAGGTTAAACCTGTCAGAAATATGATGAAAAGTTGGTGGAAGTAAGGGAAATAATTGAAATCCCTAGAAGATCAGAAAGAGGTAATAAAGGTGTACCACCAGAAAGATTTATGGTTCCAGAGGAAACACTTAAAAGGAAAAAGTGAAATGTGAAATCCTGTGAATTTAACAGCAAATTGTGTATGCATGTATGTATGATTTAGGTATGTATGATTTAAAGCTTAGAGAAGACAATTATGCTGGGGAAAGTGGAAGGTAAAAGGAAGAGGGGCCGACCAAGGGCAAGATGGATGGATGCATCCTTGAAGTGACTGGGCTTACCTTGAAGGAGCTGGGGGTGGTGACGGCCGATAGGGAGCTCTAGCGTGGGCTGGTCCATGAGGTCACGAAGAGTTGGAGACGACTGAACAAATGAACAACAACAACAAATGATTTAAATTGGAGATTTTTGTAATCGAAAATAGAAGGAGTGTCAGAAATATTTAAAATTAACTAGGTATTTTTCATTACAAAAATGTGAGTCAAGCACTGAAAAGGTTAAATGGATGCAATGACTCAGCAAAAGCTGCAGTTCTATATCAGCAGGTCTGCCTGTAGCTTAGTAGGCCTCTGTGTTAGTTTGCCTCAGTGGGAGAAAGGTCTCAGTCTGTGAGAAGGCCTCACAGTGTGAAGTAGGCCTTAGTCTGTGAAATAAGGCCTCACAGTGTGAGGTAAGCCTCAGTATGAGAAAAGTTGACTATAAAGTCATTTAAATACGGTTTGTTATTATCTGTGGTTTTCCTTTTCCATGAAAAGTCCAGGAACATTTCTTCCATGGCTTTGGGGCTGGACTGCCTCCCCCCCCCCTCCCAAAAGGGAGAGGAAGAGAGAGAGAGAAGAAGAGGAGGAGGAAGAAGAAGGAAGAAGAAGAAATAGAAGTGGAAAAGTGTCACTTGCTCAGAGTGACACTTCTAGTCAGAGCAAGTGTTAGTGAGCTAAAAAGGGCAATGACCTAACTTAGTATTGTGCAGCTTTCAAAGTTTTAAGCTAGATGGGTAAATCATAGAATCATAGAATCAAAGAGTTGGAAGAGACCTCATGGGCCATCCAGTCCAACCCTCTGCCAAGAAGCAGGAATATTGCATTCAAATCACCCCTGACAGATGGCCATCCAGCCTCTGTTTAAAAGCCTCCAAAGAAGGAGCCTCCACCACACTCCGGGGCAGAGAGTTCCACTGCTGAACGGCTCTCACAGTCAGGAAGTTCGTCCTCATGTTCAGATGGAATCTCCTCTCTTGTAGTTTGAAGCCATTGTTCCGCTCCTAGTCTCCAAGGAAGCAGAAAACAAGCTTGCTCCCTCCTCCTGGATCCTCTCACATATTTATACATGGCTATCATATCTCCTCTCAGCCTTCTTTCTTCAGGCTAAACATGCCCAGCTCCTTAAGCCGCTCCTCATAGGGCTTGTTCTCCAGACCCTTGATCATTTTAGTCGCCCTCCTCTGGACACATTCCAGCTTGTCAATATCTCTCTTGAATTGTGGTGCCCAGAATTGGACACAATATTCCAGGTGTGGTCTAACCAAGGCAGAATAGAGCATGGGGGGCATTACTTCCCTGGACCAAGACACTATGCTCCTATTGATGCAAATGTTATAGGAGACAAATGGGAACCTGAAATACAGAGTATAGAGAACCATAACATAGGGCTTAGCATACACATTTGAAAAGTCCATTCAGTACAGAAGAACGGAAATATTAATCTGCTGATTTTATTTGAAGAATAAAAGTCCTTGTGGACAACAAGTTAAACATGAGCTGACAATGTCATGTGGCAGCTTAAAAAGCCAGTGGGATTTTGGCCTGCATAAGTAGGAGTCTAGTGTCTACATCCAGGGAAGTCGTGCTACCCCTCTATTCTGCCTTGGTCAGACCACACCTGGAATCGCACTGTGTCCATTTCTGGCCACCGCCATTGAAGGGAGATGTTGACAAGCTGAAATGTATCCAGAGGAGGGTCTGGAGAACAAGCCGTATGAGGAGTGACTTATAGAGCTGGGCATGTTTAGCCTGCAGAAGAGAAGGCTGAGAGGAGACATAGGAGACATGGTGAGGGCCATGTATCAAGGTGTGAGGGGAAGTCATAGGGAGGAGGGAGCAAACTTGTTTTCTGATGCCCTGGAGTCAATGGAACAATGGTTTCAAGCTACAGGAAAGGAGATTCCACCTGAACATGAGGAAGAACTTCCTAACTGTGAGAGCTGTTCAGCAGTGGAACTCTCTGCACCAGAAATGGTGGAGGCTCCTTCTTTGGAGGCTTTGAAACAGAGGCTGGATAGCCATCTGTCGGGGATGCTTTGAATGCAATTTCCTGCTTCTTGACAGGAAATTGGACTGGAGGGCCCACGAGGTCTCTTCCAACTCTATGATTCTATATAATCCCAGAAATTAATAAAAAGGCAGGTGTTTTTTTCTTTGCTGGAGAATTTACTGTACTTTAAGGTCTTGTTGCTCTATCGGTATAGATGATGTTGCTAGACTTGGGTATGCACAATTGTTTTGAATCTGGAATAATCTAGAACATGTAAGTCTAGATTGTACATGGTTGAATGTGAGATATACAATTAGTTATACTTCTAAATTATAATATAATTATAAAAAAAATATTTATATTCCACCCTATCTCCCTGAGGGGACAGTTGAGGATGTGGGCGAATATTCATGAGAGTTTCTGGTGTTGATTTTAAAATAGGAATGCTTTGTAATCATTACCCTTGAATAAAGTTAGTAATTATTATGATTGCTATTAATATGTTGTTTTCCCATCCCATCCCCACTATTGATGCAGTGTTCAACTTGACCAACAGCATTGATTTAGAGAATACAAAAAAGAAGATGGAGATGTACCAAAAAGAAAACAAGGAAGTCATTCAGAAAAATAAAATCAAACTGGTTAGTTACTTAAAGTTGTGTTTTCTTTGACTGCCCGTATTTTAACTTGCATTTTATTTTCTCTGTATTGTATTGTAGGGGTGAAGGGGAAGAATTACTTGTTATGTGCCTTCAAATTGACTCCATGTTATATGTTGGACTCCATTGTTAAGTTTTCACTGCAACATTTCTTCAGAGAAGGTTTGTCATTGCCTTCCTCTAAAGCTGAGCAATTCTCTAAGACACTAACCCATCCAAGATCATCCAGTGGTTTTCCATGGGCATTTGAACCCTGATCTCAAGGTTTCTTATCCAATACTTACAGTATGAGGTGGAATGACATAATAGTATTTTAAAAAACTGAGGTCTGTTGAATGCCCAAGATAATAGATTGCTCGCTTAATAAATATTTTTAGTCTTATCAACTCTTTTCTATGTGAAAAATGTGACAGAACGGAGCATATTCTTCCAGATGATCTTTGTGACTCTTACGTATTTTAAACCTGC